GGAGGCCCAGAAACCTGACTGTATCACGTTCAGGGATACGGGAGCCATAGAGGTACAAAGGATGATCGGAGATGACAGAGCATCTAGTGAAAGTAATTTGGTGAGTTTTGGTACTGGAAAATTTAAACCCATGTGTGGTGGCCCAATTGGAAACACGGTCGACCGCATGCTGGAGAGAAACTGTAATGAGGTGAGTCAGCGCCTGCACAGGCAATAGCGAAGTCATCAACAGAGCGATGACCAAATATTTGATGGAAGACTAGAGGCCAAATCATTTATAGCAAGGAGAAAAAGCGTTGTGCTCAGAACACATCCCTGGGGGACACCTTCAGCTTGGATAAAGTCCGGGGAGAGCACATTATTAACCTGAACACAGAAATGCCTGTCAGTTAAAAAGTTCTTAAGGAAGGATGGTAGATTGCCTCGGAGGCCTAAGGAGTGGGCTTGGGCCAAAATATTATACCTCCAAGTTGTGTCATATGCCTTCTCAAGGTCAAAAAATATGGCAATAACTGAGTGGTTATTCACAAAGGCCTTACGAACATACGTATCTAAGCGTAGTAAGGGGTCTATGGTAGAATGACCCTTACGAAAGCCATATTGACGAGTGGAGAGACTGTTGAGTGTCTCTAAATACCACACTAAATGTCTATTTACCAGGCGTTCCATCACTTTGCAAACTGCACTGGTAAGAGTAATGGGACGATAGTGGGAGGCTTCATGTCCCATAGTGCATGGTTTGCGGAAAGAGAGAACAATGGCAGATTTCCACAGCTGTGGAAGAACTCCTTGTGACCAAATAAGATTGAAAAGGCATAATAGGACTGCAATGGCTGACTGATGTAAATGTTGTAGCATATGAATATGAATGTCGTCGGGCCCAGCTGCCGATGATCGGCAAGCTGAGTGTTGCCTCCAGTTCTTGAAGTGTAAAAGGCACATTATACTGTTCTTCTCTGAGAGAAGAAAAGTCCAAGGGTGCTAACTCTCTGGCAGACTTTGAGGAAAGAAACGAGGGGCATAGATGGAGCCCCTGAGAAATATGGACCACATGATTGCCAATTTCATTGGCAACATCTAGTGGGTTTGCTATATCAACACCTGCAACCCACAGAACAGGAGCCGGGTCAGGAGAATATTTACCACTCAGTTTTCGTACTTTTTTCCAGACTGCACTCATAGAGGAAGCAGAGGTGATGGTGGAGACAATATCGCCAGCAAGTGCGTTTAGCATCACGGATGACACGGCGAGCGATCGCACGCTTCTGCTTAAAATCAAGAAGTCTCTCCATGGTTCTACTGTACCGGTACCTGCCCCATGCAGCGCGTTTCAAACGTACTGCACGAGCACAAGGAGACCACCAAGGCACACATTTCTGAGAATGCCTGCCCAAAGTTTGGGGTATAGAATGAGAAGCTGCGGTTAAAACGGAGGACGAGAAGAGGTGTAAAAGCTCATCAATGGAGGATGAAGAAGGAACCTCACTAAAAACAGTTAGTTGTGAGTAAAGGTTCCAATTTGCCTGATCAAATTGCCAGCGTGGGATACGAAGAGGTGGTGAATATGAAGGCGAAGTAAGAATGATTGGGAAATGATCGCTGTCATGTAAATCCGGGAGAACAGACCAGGTGAAGTCCAATGCGGCGGAGGAAGAGCAGACTGAGAGATCGATGCAAGAGAGAGTGAGAGTCCGAGGATCAAAATGGGTGTGAGTACCTGTATTTAAAATATGGAGGGGATGGGTGGCAAGAAAAGCCTTTAACTGAATGCCACGGGAATCACAGTGAGACCCCCCACAGAGGAAATGATGGGCATTAAAATTGCCAAGTAACAGAATCGGTGGCGGTAATGATGAAACAAGAAAGGCAATATCCGGAATAGATAATGCCCGAGAAGGAGAGAGATATAAAGAACAGAGCGTATACCACCTATGCAAGTGGATACGAGCTGCTGTGTAATGCAGCGAAGTACGAACAAATAGCTGATGGTGCAGAATATCAGTGCGTAGAAGAAGGGCACTTTCATTAAAGGTCCCATCAGGAAAAGGATCTGAAGAATACAATAAATTATAGCCTGAGATGGGAGAGATAACAGCAGAGTGTAATTTTGGTTCCTGTAAGCAAACACCAACAGGGGAAAACTGGGAGAATAACATCTGAAGCTCACCCCGATTACCCTTGAGGCCACGTATATTCCACTGTAAATAGGCCATGATTGGCAACGATAAAGATACCTGAAATCCGCAGTAAGGGTTCCTATGGACTAGAGGGGTTAGAAAAGTCCACATGCGGTGGCAGCGGAAAACGTTCAAGCAGAGAAGGAACGGTGTGCTGCGAAGAAAGGAGTTGCACAGGTGGAGGAGAGGAGAGAGAAGGAACAGAAGGTGGATCAGTGTCCATTGATGGTTTGGTCTCTGCAATATATTCAGAGATTGCTTCAAGTGTTTCGGAATTCAGAGACATCATATGGGAGACAATATTGGAGATGGTAGGGGGGGGATGAGTAAAGATTGGAACTGTAATGGACTGTACCAAGGTAGGGGGGGGGTGAAAGGGTGGAGGGAACTGGAGAAGAAGCGTGGAAGGGGACAGAAGAGGCAGAAACCTGGGAGGTGGCAGAAGAGGAAGAAACATGGGAGGGAACAGGGGAGGAAGGTACAGTATGAGGAGGAGGGTGAACCTCTACACTTGTAACAGAGCCAGTGAAAGGGGAAGAACCAGGTACAGAGACAGGGAAGGTAAAATAAGGATGTGGAAGAAGGGAAGGAGGGGTTAAAGGACCTTTTTTTTTCTTCTGAGAAGTAGAGGGATGATTGGGAGGAGGTGTCGTACGAGATCTCGTCGATACCGAGGCTTGTGAGGGAGAACATGAAGAATCGAGAACAGACTGAGGCATTGAAGTAGGGACGTCTGAGCCCAGGACAGCAAAAGAATTAGATACAGGAGTGACTATGGGAGAGGTAACCACAGAGGAGGCTGCAGAAGATGGGACCCCAGAAGTGGGGGGGCGTTTTGAAACACGGGAATAAGAAACACGAGGCAGTCTTCCTTGGAGGCGGAGATGAGAAACTGCCATGGCATAAGGGAGACCTTCTGCCTCTTTGAGGTAACGGATTTCCCGCTCATTTAAGTAGACTAGGCAACGGCAAGAGCACAAAGGGTGAGCCTCATGACAATTAAGGCAAGAGGGAGGTTGATTACAAGACGTATCAGAATGGTCATCGGCACCACAGACTGGGCATTCGGCTATAGATCTGCAATATTTCGCTGGATGACCAAATCGCCAGCAATTTCTACACTGTTGAGGTGTAGGCATCACCTTTCGAACTTGTAACTGATGTCCTGCTACATAAACTGAGGATGGGAGTTCACGGCTGTCAAAAGTTAAACGAGCCACATTGCTAGGGTATCGTCTCCGCCCGCCGGCAGGAAGAACATAAGTGTCTACCTTGAGGATTGGGAGATCTTGGAGTTCCAGCTGTTCAAGAATGTCATTGCCACATGTCTGGAAATTTTGTTAAACTATGGTATGGGGCAGAATGACGGTACCACTACAAGAATTGAGGGAATGATGTTTTTCAATAGTGACAGGAACAGTATCGATATGGGAAAGAAGAGAAAGATTATGAGCTTGGGTAGCATTCTGTACAGTGATGATGCCCATACTGCTCTTAAGAGCATGAAAAGAAATATTTTTACCAACATGGCATAGGAGTGCCTTGCCAATACTATGGTTGGAAAGATAGGCAATAGAGGAAGTCGGTCGTAAAGTGAAGAATTTAGTCCATTGTGCATTCTGAAACTGAGCGTGGAAAGGGAGTGCAGGATGTGTCGATCTTTTCTGAGAAGAACGAGAAGGTGGAGAAGTATCATCAGCAGGTAATTGTCATTGGCATTTAGGAGTAGGACCAGAGTTGGTCCGACGTGGAACGGACCAGCGATTCAAAAATTGCCGCACCATAGAGGGAGAGGCCGGAAGCGTAGTCAAAGGAGAGCGGAGGTCAGATAAATCGAAGGAGTCAGTCGAGACCTCGGTACCTGAAGCGGGTGAGGAAACAGCACCGGCAAGAGGTACAAAGGCATTAGGAGTGTCCGAAGAGTGGTCCAAAGATGAGGCAGGGTCAGAACGGGGTGCGGTGTCAAGAAGGGGCCCGGGGGTAGAAGGTTCATGGACTAGGGCTTCCATGGTTAGGTTACTTCTTTCTTTTTGCTTTTAAGAAAAAAAAAAAGAAAGAAAAGAAAATAAAAAAAAAAGGGGGGGGGGACTGAGGAGGGATAGTTCCTAGGAGGAATGAAAGGGCCAGAAATCTCCCTCCATGCCCAAGAGGACCTCAGCACCACAAGCAGCGCAGATGCAGCATGGAACCCGTGCCATACCCTGCCCATAATGCCAGTAAACCAGCAATCCGGGACAGCAACCTCACATCTGCCGAGCTACCTCGGTGGACAAAAGAGAGGGCGGCCGAATATCCACCACAAAGCATACCTCCTTCGGCCACCATCCCCGGAATCCGAAAGGTGGCTTCAAAGATACACCCATCACCCGAAAGACACCCAAAGCCACCCTCCGGGATACAGGAGAGGGATCGGGACATCCCCAGGCAATCCAGATTCCACGGCAAACTACGCCACTGCCAAAAACATCAACGGAATGGGGTGGACCCCGGTACCTTTTCCCCTACCTAGGAACTAGCATGCCTGTGGGAAAAAATCCCAAAGGCCAAAAAGGAAGGGCAAAAGGGAGGGGTGGGGAGGAGGAGGAGGAAAGGAAAAAGGGGAGGATGGGGAGGATGGGAGAGGGAAGGGGGGATTGGGGGGTAATTAGGTTTGGTCTGAGGAAGGAGACCGACAGGTCTAATTCCTCAGACCAAGAGCCTCTTCACCACGCCAAGGAGCCCCCCTTGAAGAGGATTAAGAATAATTATAATTATAATAATAATAATAATAATATAATAATACAATGTAATAGTAATACACCTACCATCCGACTTACGACCAAGTTCAGTTCCGAGAAACTGGTCCCAAGTCGAAATGGACGTAAGTCGAACTTTACTACTGAATATCAACATCACATTTTTGTAATGACTTTATTTTATTGTTTTATTTAGGTATTTCATGTTTTACTTTACTTTTTATGCTGTTAGTACTGTATTTTATACTGTAAGGTTTAGGATAAACACTGTGTACAACACAAATAGTTGTTTATTTCCCAGAAATTTGGCAAAAAAAAACACGGTCGTAAGTCGAGTGGTCTTAAGTTGAGCAGGTCGTAAGTCGGATGGTAGGTGTAATTATAATAATATGCTGTCATTTTTAGACTTTTTAATTTTTTTTTTTTTATAATTTTGTGCCAAATGCTTCAAAACAGAAATTGGTAACCCTCTGGGTGGCTGTAGGTACAACTGCTGCAACCACGGCTATCTCAGTGCCGACCAAGTGTCAAAAGGAATAGGAGGTGTGCTGCTCTGAGTGACCGCAGCAGACCTTGGGATGTGTAATTTTGTCTTATACTGTATAAATTTCTTACACAATGCCTCGCTCAAAGAGACAGTATTTGCGTACAATCAGCAAGAAGCGATTAGAAACTATGAAAAAAATAGAGAAACGAAGAAAGCAGCAGCATAGAGTGGGGCAGCTGGCCGCCACCACCACGACCACCACTGTGGCCGCCACCACCACAACCACTGGGGCCACAGTGATCATGTCTTCACCTATATATACATCTATCTTGACCACACCTGCATTTACATATGTGACATCCTCACCACTAATCATAGATAAACACAGGCTAGGTGTGGGGCTATGGGCTGGGAAGATACTAGAATGGGAGAGTAAATGGCGGATGCTTTCTGCCACTGCTGGCATTGCGATCACTTGCCATATTATGGTCAATTTTATTCATACTAGAGTATATATCATGTTTCTATGTTATTAATATTGTTTATTATGTCATATTAGATAAAATGTGATAGATAACTAAGCCACAGAGTTGATATTAGCATTATTTTGTCATGCCTCCTGAGAGGCTGGAACGGATTAATTGCATTTCAAATAATTTAAATGAGAAAAACTGACTTGGCATACAAACAAATCAGGATACAAACAAGGTCACGGAACGGATTAAATTCATAAGCCGAGGTTCCACTGTAAAATTATTTGTTACATTCTTCTATTCTGGGTTTGTTAAAGACTGTTTCTCTTCTGAATGAATTCTCATATGGAGACTCAGATTTAATTTACTTGAACAGTTTTTGAGACAGTGCAAACACTGATAAGGTTTCTCTCCTGTGTGAACTCTCATGTGTTTTTTTAAATGTGCTTTTTGTGAGAAACCTTTTGGACACAGTGAACAGGTATGTGGTTTTTCTCCAGTATGAACTCTCATGTGCTGTACTAAATAATATTTAAGTTTAAAGTTCTTGAAACACACTGAACACTGATATGGGGTCTCTCCTGTATGAATTCTCATGTGATGTATTAAGTATGATTTATGCTTAAATTTCTTGAGACAATCTGAACACTGGTAAGGTTTCTCTCCAGTATGAACTCTCAAGTGAAGAACTAAAGATGATTTAAATGTAAAACATTTGAGACACTCTGAACACTGGTAAGGTTTCTCTCCTGTATGGATTCTCATGTGCTGTGTCAAATGTGATTTTTGTGAAAACTCTTTGGAACAAACTGAACAGTGATGTGGCTTCTCTCCTGTGTGAGTTCTTGTATGTTGTATTTGAAATTTTCTTTGTGTAAAGCCTTTCGAACATATCAAACACTTGTATGGTCTCTCTCCTGTATGAACTCTCATGTGCAGTGTGAGAGATAATTTATGTTTATAGGCCTTTAAACACTCTGAACACTTAAATGATTTTTCATTTGAATGACTTCTTGTATGCTCTACTAAATGATGTTTTTGTGTAAATTCTTTTGAACATAGTGAACATTTGTATGGTTTCTCAGCTGAATGAACTCTCATGTGCTGTATTAGAATAGTTTTTAATGAAAAGTCTTTTGAACACACTGAACATTTATATGGCTTCTCTTTTGTATGAACTCTCATATGAAGTTTTAAGTATGACTTATTTTTAAAGTCTTTGAGACATACTGAACACCGATATGATTTCTCTCCTATGTGAGCTCTCATGTGAATCTTTATATATGCTTTACTTTTAAACAGTTTGAGACAAACAGAGCACTTATAGGGTTTCTCTTGTCTATGGACTCTCATGTGCTGTATCACATGTGATTTTTGTGAGAAGTCTTTGAAGCATACTGAGCACTGATGTGGTTTCTCTCCTGAATGCATTCTCATGTGAAGTAATTGATATGATTTACTCTTAAATTCCTTGAGACAAATTGAACACTTGAATTGCTTCTTCTCTGTGTGAATTCTCATGTGGCGAATTAGATGCGAATTTTGTGAAAAGTATTTTGAACATAATGTGCATTTATGTGGCTTCTCTCCAGTATGAACTCTCATGTGAACATTAAGAGATGATTTGAATTTGAAGTCTTTAAGACACTCTGTACAATGAAATGGTTTTTCATCTTTATGGCTTCTCATGTGCTGCATCAGATGAGCTTTCTGAGAAAAACATTTTAAACATACAGAACAATGGTGAGGTTTCTCTCCTGTATGAATTCTCGTGTGTGTCACTAAATGAGATTTTTGTACAAATTCTTTTGAACACACTGAACATTGATAAAATTTGTTTCCTGAAATAATTCTAGCATTGGGCATTCTTTATTATTTACCTAAGAAGACATTTATATATATAAAGTCAATATAGTTTCCAGGATGTGAGAACACAGGAAAAAAAATAATAAAAATTTTATACCTTATGTACAAAAATCAAGTCAAGAACTTCTTCTTTCAATCTAGAAAAAATAAAAAAGAAGATTTTTGCTTTAAGACCCCGGTCATGAACTTATATTTACAATAAATGGTGTCATGGAATGTCTTAAAATTTTAACAGTAAAAATTAAAAAAAAATTTTAATTGCTTGAATTTATTTGTGATGAACTTTTCCCAAACACAAATAAATAAAATGTCAATATTTAAAACAGGTGTCAGACACACAACACCCCCCACAAAATTTTATGATAGTAAAGAAAAATTTTTTTGCTATGGAGCACTAAATACAATTTTTTTTGAATTTAAAATAAGATGTAGGAACCAAACTAAAATTTTTAGTCAAATGGTGCAAAGAAATAATTTTTCGATGCTTTTAATTATCCCAAAGAAATGCCAAAGTTTTTTTAGTTATTTTAAGATTGTAATTTATAACTATTTACTGTGACTTAAATTCTGCAAAAGGGGTAGTGATTTATGATTTTATATTAACATTCCAAATTATGTACTTCTGTATAATAACTTTTTGACACCGTTTCTTGGCTATTTTCTTTAAAAATTTTGTGAATAATATTTTAAAAAATTTGTTCTACATATTAAAAATTTTCCCATTGAAAAAAGGGTACACAACCTTTCATGATTCAGTACCTACAGTAAACCCTAAATGAATGGATCCCAGTATAACGGACTTCCATAATTACAAGCAAGTGCAAGTTTCTGCAGTATATCGTAAACTGTATGCAGAAAAACAGGTTTATGGTATTGCCAGTTTTGTATTTTTCAGTGCATTTACAGCAATTTTTTATCATTTTGGATTTAAAAGGACACTAGTTAATTCCTATTAGTCTTTAAAAATTCAGGGTTTCGTATAAAATTTTTTGGAAATTATTGCCTAAAGGTTGAAAATGGCATCAAGATATCACATTTAAATTTGCATTTCAGACAATCTGTTGTTTTACCACTCCTTTGTGACACTTAATATCGCAGTAATTCTGCAATGTACATGGCAAAAACTTTTTTAAGCACTAAAAGGTAATTCTTTGCTGAGAGATACCCTGTAAAAAAAAAAAAGGAGGGTTTTTAAAACTTGATCCCATATGCGCATTTTAAGCATGAACTTTTCCCAAAGTGTGCTCACAATTTTCAAAAAAGAAAAGGGTTTGAAAGTTTGTTACAAAAGACGGAAGATAGAGGTCAAAATGGCAAACACCATCCCGAAAAATCTTCCACTGCAATTAAAAAAGAGCATCAAATATTCAGCCAAAATATGATCAATGGTTACCATGAAAGGCACATGAGGGTAAATTCTTGGGGTTTACCCTTGACTGCAACCACCCAGGGGGGTACTCCGCCTGCAGGGGACTGGAAACAAAAACCCAGAAATTTTTACTGATGGTAGGATTGTTTGGGGTCTCTTTTTGTTCAAAAACACGCGGGAAAAACAGGTTATCTTGCTATTCTACTTACACTTGGTTACATTTCATAGGAAGCAAAACAAACACACACACACACACACACACACCCCACACCACCACACACCACCCCAATATATACCCCTCCCATCTGATTAGGGACGAGTTCGGTTTCCCGAGAAACCAGTCTAAGTCGTGGTCGTAAGTCAAACTTTACTACTGAATATCACAAAAAATTTTTGTAAGGGCTTTTTTTTATTGTTTTTTTGGGTATTTCATGTTTTACTTTACTTTTTATGCTGAGTACTGTTTTTATACTGTAAAAATGATTAAAAGTCGAAAACCCGGTTTTTTGGATACCGATGCCCTGAATACCGGGGGGCCCCTGGGTGGTTCGGCCTGTAGAGAGAATGGAGCAAAAAGAATGACTTCAGAGGGTATCAGTCTGTAGTGGAAGGAAGGCGGGGTAGGGGGCGGCCCAGGAAAGGTTGGGGAAGGGGGGGAAAAGGGGGTTTTGTGTCGAGGGGGTTTGGACTTCGCAGGCATGCGTGAGCGTGTTTGATAGGGTGAATGGAGACAAATTTTTTTTTAATACTTTACGTGTGTTGAGTGTGAGCAAAGAAAAATTTATGAAGGGGTTCAGGGAAAACCGGAGGGGACTTGGTCCTGGAGATGGGAAATACATGCCCGCATCTGAAGGAGGGGGGTTAGTTTTCAATTTAAAAAAATTTTAGGTAAAGCACCCCTTTTGGCAAGACAGGATGGGGTGAATGATGGTGAATATTTTTTTTTTTCGGGCCACCCTGCCCTTTGGGGGGAATCGGCCCGTGGATAAAAAAAAAAAAAAATGTGAAAAATGGGGCAAATAAAGGGGTTTGCAGCTGGGGAAGAGAGGGTGTAGAGGAGGGGAGAGAGATTTTGGAGTGTTAAGGAAAGATAGGAACCTTTTTAACCCAAACAGGACTAACTGTGGTAGGGGGCAAAAGCTAAAATGGAAAATATTTAGGGAGGTGTGGTAGGGAAGTTTGGGGGGGCCAGGTGTAAAAAGATAATTGGGCCCTTTTATTTGAACATGGTATTAAAGGGGTTTAGTAAAAGTAAAAAGTATTTTAAGAAAAAGAGGATAAAAAAGTTTACAAGATATGATGCAGGGCGTAATGCAGTACAGGTCTCCCCCAACTTGCGGGGTTAGGGGGTAAGGCTCGCGAAGTTTTAAAAAAAACCCTGATGTTTGGGGGCCCCAAAATTTTTGTAGGGAAATATATTACAAAATGCTTCCTTAACTTGTTAAACCTGAATAATCATAAAAAAATGAAAAAGTCGTAAATTTTACTAAATATTAATGTTTGCTTAATAATGTATGTTATTAACAAAAATGTATGTTATAAAAATGTATGTTTTAAATACCCCCAGACTCACCATGGGTCCCATACCCTCCCCCCGAACCCCCCCAATGGCAGCCAGCCCCCCCACCATCAGTGTGGTGAGTGTTTTGTTGTTCATTTTTGTATTTAACACCGAATAAATAAAGTAAAACCCCTTTATGACTGCAATTGGGAAGGCTATTAGCAAAGGATTGCGGGACTCATGTGTTTTCTCTTTGAAAACAGCAAAGAATCGAACATTTTGTTTGCTAAAAACAATAATAATAAAAATAATTAATATAAATAAAATAATTTAAAAAATTAATAAAAATAAAATACGATATAAATTTAAGAAGGAAAAATTTTACAAAAAATACGAGGGAGTGGTTGACACATCGTCAGTGTGACTTTTTTTATTGGGTGAAAATTTGTTCCCTGCTTTCCAAACATTTACTAATTCAGCAGTTTACAGTGGTATTTAAAAACATATTGTTTATAAATAAAAAAGTAATGTTTTTATTAAAACTGTATTATTATTTAAAATGAGTATTTAATAACATTTGTTATAAAAAAAACATATTATTATTAAAAAACCTGTATTTTATTAAAATGTATGTTATTTAAATACCATTTCCCCAGTCATGCTCTACCCCTCCCGTCACACCATTAAAGCACCAAACCAATGAATTTTGTGAAATGTTTGGAAGGCGGGAGACTTTAAAAGTTCCTCCAGCATAAACAAAGTCACACTGCGATGTGTCAACCCCTCCCCGTAGATAAATTTGACACATGTGAAAAACAATAAAAATACCCAAGAGTTTCACATGTGTCTAATTTATCAACATATCGGTTCTCTGAACCATTCATCCACTCCCTTGTATTTTTGTACAATTTCCTTCTTCAATTATATCATATTTATTATTATTATTATTATTATTATTATCATTATTATTATTATTACTGTTATTATTAGCTGTAGCAGAAATGTTTAATTCTTTGCAGTGTTCAAGAGTAAACACATGATGTCACCGTCTAATACCTGTCCGAATAGCCATTCCAATATGCAGTCATGAATGGGTTTACATTATTTATACTGTAGTTTAATAGCAAATAATGAACAAACAAAACACTCACCACACTGAGTGGTGGGAGGGCTGGCTGCCAGTTGTGGGGGGTCGGAGGGAGGGTAGTAGGGACTCGCAGGTGGCGGGAAACTTAAATATGATTTGGCGGCTGGGAATTTGGTGGCTGGGAATTTGGAGGTTGGGAATTCGCGAATGTGTGAAGCTCGTGAAAGTTGAAAACGTGAATGTTGAGGGAGACCTGTAGTTTGTTGGACTATGTATTGGTAGATAAAAGACTATTGAGTAGACTTCACGATGTACATGTTTATAGAGGGGCCACAGATATATCAGATCACAATCGCTCCCAATTTGTTGTGGTAAACACTGCCATCTAGTGACGGCCTTTTGAAGCTATCTATTATAATTGTTATATTTATTTATTTGTTAACACACTGGCCGATTCCCACCAAGGCAGGGTTGCCCGAAAAAGAAAAACTTTCACCATCATTCACTCCATCACTCTTGCCAGAAGGGTGCTTTACACTACAGTTTTTAAATTGCAACATTAACACCCCTCCTTCAGAGTGCAGGCACTGTACTTCCCATCTCCAGGACTCAAGTCCGGCCTGCCAGTTTCCCTGAATCCCTTCATAAATGTTACTTTGCTCACACTCCAACAGCACGTCAAGTATTAAAAGCCATTTGTCTCCATTCACTCCTATCAAACACGCTCACGCATGCCTGCTGGAGGTCCAAGCCCCTCGCACACAAAACCTCCTTTACCCCCTCCCTCCAACCTTTCCTAGGCCGACCCCTACCCAGCCTTCCTTCCACTACAGACTGATACACTCTTGAAGTCATTCTGTTTCGCTCCATTCTCTCTACATGTCCGAACCACCTCAACAACTCTTCCTCAGCCCTCTGGGCAGCAGTTTTGGCAATCCCGCACCTCCTCCTAACTTCCAAACTACGAATTCTCTGCATGATATTCACACCATACATTGCCCTCAGACATGACATCTCCACTGCCTCCAGCCTTCTCCTCGCTGCAACATTCATCACCCATGCCTCACACCCATATAAGAGCATTGGTAAAACTATACTCTCATACATTCCCCTCTTTGCCTCCAAGGACAAAGTTCTTTGTCTCCACAGACTCCTAA